AAAAAAAAAAAAAAAAAAGTGGTACATACATACAATGCAGCCCCTAAAAAGAAGGAAATCCTGTCATATATTATAACATTGATAAACCTTGAGGGCATTATGCTAAGTGAAATAAGCGAATCACAAAAAGACAAACACTGCATGATTCCACTTATATGAGGCGTCTAAAATAATCAAACTCATAGAAACAGAAAGTAAAATAGTGGTAGGGAAAAAAAGAGGAGTTGTTATTCAATGGATGTAGTGTTTCAGTTTTGCAAGATGAAAAATTTCTACAGACCTGTTGCACAACAATCTGCATACACTTAATACTACTGTGTTGCACATTTAAAAATAGTTAAGATGGTAAACTTTATTTTATTTTTTCCCACAATAAAAATGAAAAATGATCAATTGTAAGTGACTAAACCAAACCAGAATAGCTTAGTCAAACAGGAGAATTTTTTGGTTCAGAGAACCTAAGAAACGGTAAATGCAACAGGGCCTTAAGAATAACTGTGACAGGGATTCTAAAAAGCCCCTAGGTGTCGCCCTCCACCTCCTGACTCATCTTTCTCACTGTGGATCTGCTTTCTCCAGAGTGGCCAATATAGCTGATGATAATTCCCAGGTTTACACCTTAGACCACAGAAAGAGTGCCTGCCTAGTGTTCTACCTCCAAGTTCAAAATATTGAGAAGAGCTCTAAGTGGCCCAGTCAGCCTCTGGACAAACTGATGACAGGATATTGTAAAAAGATCTTACAAGAAGTCAGGTCTTGTAAGAAGAACCTAGTAAATCCTGTGGGAACCAAACAATTGGGAGTGAAATGGGATGGGAGGTATATCAGTTAGCTGTTACCACTTCAGTGCTATATAACAAAGTACCCCAAACTACTGGTTTAAAACAATTATCATTTATTTCCAAGAATCTGCATATTGGCTGAGGCAGCTCTAATTTAGACTGTGGTGAACAGGGTAGCTCTATTCCACTGTGGAAAGGACAGAGAAGAAGAATTAAAGAGGAATGAGAAGATCTGGTAATTGATTGGATATGGACAGTGAAGGACAGGGAGGAGTTTATTGACATATTGCTTCTATTAGTCAGGATAGGATAGGATATGCTGTGATAACAATACCCCATAACCTCTGGAATTTAACACAAAGACTTTCTTCCTCCAACTTGTAGTTCTGCTGTCTTTCATAATTCATGGCCTCTTAAGTTTGCCACAGCTGAAGGAAAAAAGAGATTGAGAGGAACACAATTTCCTAAGTGCCTTGGCCTGGAAAAGACATACATCACTTTCATTCCCACTGGCCAGAACTAGATGGATGGTCCCAACCTAATTGCAAGGGAGATGAAAAAATGTATAGAAACATATGGATATTTGGTGCTATTATTGTTAACAGTGAGGATTAGCAGTATGGATGCTGAAAATACACCGCCTGAAAATAAAACTCAGTTTCTCTACTAACTAGTCATGTAGTTGTGGGCAAGTTTCTGCTTCTTCATTTGTAAAGTGATATTAACAATAGTACTTACCTCATAGGCTTGTTTAGAGCATTAAATAAGGTAACGAACATAAAAGACTTAGTGCCTGGGACAAGGTAGGCACTCAATTAATAATATTCAAATTAAAATGATTCCAATATTTTTTCTCTCAATGACCAGTTGAAAGGAATAAAGAGTGTCAGATGTAGCAAGTTTGGGAAGGGATATAAATGAATGTGTAGACATGTTGAATTTCCATTGGAGATGTTTGGTGGGCAATCACAAAATGAACGGGGAAAAAATGGGGCTGGCAACATAAACCTAGGATGCATCAACAAGTAGGTGGTAATTTAAGCTTCGGGTATGGGTGAGATTGCTAGGGAAAGTGACTAGTTTGTGGAAAAATGAAAGTTTGAAGGCAGAACTCTGGATAATACCAACATTTAAGAAGAGGGGAAAGAAGAGACCACATCAGAACAATGATATCATTAAGAGTGCTCATTATGTTGTCAATATACTGGTTGGTTGACTGTGTAAGATGAAAGTATTAAGACAGAGTCCTTGCCTTCAAGGAATATGTATTTGAACTGGTAAAGCCAGATAATGGAAGTAAATTTTAATTTAAGCTTCCATTTTCTAGATAATTTCTCAGTCCTGATCTTTAGTGTCTGAATTTAGAGCCTCTTTTAGTTTTCCTGAAATTTTCCTTTAAAAGGAGACATTTGGAACTTGCTGAAGAAGCTTTGAATTTTTTTTAGTCCCTAAGGTTCTAAACTGTTAAAATGTAGTAGTGTTTTGCTCTCAGAAGTAACTTTTAAATTTGATATTATTTTTAGTAATACCTCAGACTCTAATGTGCTTATAGTGTTGGCTCTGCAATCTTGAAATTGTTCATTGATGTAGCCAAGTCTTTGCAATGAGGCCTGTGGATGATTTATGGTGGGAGTGACTGGGGACTTTATTCTGCCCTGGTTGGCAAGTTCTCTATTTCATTGTGTTCTTTTTCAAAAAACTGTAATTACTGAGAAAGTAATTAAGAATATGAATCCAAATTTCCCTTGAAAATAATTTTACTGAGTTTCAGCTTGGCAAGAACCACATTTTATAATAACTCACTCAACTTCACATTTTATCCCCCAGTAAATCATCTTGAACTAACATCATCTATTACAGATACACTGGGGCTACTCCCCCTAAAAAGTTATAATCAGAGACCTCTCCAAATTAAATTGTAATTTTCAGATCCCAGTTAGGTCCTGAGATTCAGAGGGGCGTAAGTCAATTGTTGCTTTAAATGAGCTTTCAGTACAGTGAGAAAGAGATTTGTTAGAGTGAATTCAATAGCGCAGCGTGCCAAGTTCTTTAGTGAAGGACAGACATGTCTGGGAGAAAGGCAGGATGTTTTCAAGGAATAGTAGTAGAGTATGGCAGAAGGAGACAAGATAGGGTAGAAGATTAACTGGAAAGATGGACTGAGCCAGATCCTAGACTGTCTTTTCTTGAAACATCTTGTATATCATCTGAAGAGTTTATGTGTTACTCTGCAGGTAATGGGGAGCAAGTTGAGGTTTGTGGCCTAGAGCTGGATTTGATCAGTTTCCTGTTCAAGGAACACAGCTCTGATGGCATTTTGAAGGATCAATATTTGAGAGATAAGGAAGGGAGGGATAAGAAGGGAGTATAGTACAATGACCTAGGAGACGGAAAGTGAAAACCTAAAGGTCTGAAGGAAATAAAAGGATCGGAAAAGTCTCGTCCAGTTGGGGTCATTGTTGCTTCATTGGTCATGGAATTATGTGACAGACTGTTGACTCATTCTGGCCTCAAGATTCTATGAGTTAGTCTTCGCTGACGGTAGAAGAACCCTACATTCCAGAAGAGGGCATTTTCCCACAACTCTAAGTACATAAAAGAATGCTTCAGACGTATCTCTACATATTTAAGAAGTGAGATCATCTCTCCCACCCCAGTTATTATATCAGTTGAAATGGGGATAATTAGATCTATTTACTTGAGCACAAACTAATTTTGTGTGTTTTTTTATGAGTTTCCAGTATGGAGACATAGTAATGCTTATCTGGGTAGTCTCTCTAAATACGATGCCTACACTTGTGCTTTATAGGACAATGTGTTTTAGTTTCTGTTCACTGAACTCAGAATAAAAATTTAATAAGAAATTGAGAAGTTAAACTGTGAGAAAATTAGAGAAGGAAAGGAAACAATCAAATGACATGGTACGGAAGATACTGAATTGTCATATTAAAATAGAAGATACAGACTTGCTGAATAAATTCTCATTGTTTCCTAAGTTCCAAGGATTTAGAGTAATAGAAGAAATATATTGTGAAGGAAGCAAGTAGGCTGTCAGATATATGGACACCATTGGTGACTGCATGGGGGCAGGTGTGGCAGAAAAACCAAAATGATATACAGATGGAGAACATACATTTTGCAGTACTTACAGATAATCTCACATATCTTATCCCTAAGTATAATCTCACATATCTTATCCCTGGTAAGTATATCATTACTTATATTTATTTCTTTTATTTGCCAAACATTTATATGTCATTTACATTCACTCATTTAAACCTCATAACAACCCCATGAAATATGCATTTTTATTATTCCGATTTTACAGATGGGGCAACAGAGAAATTAAGCAATTAGCTCTTGGTCACACAGCTGGTAAGAAGCAGAGCCAAGGATTCAAACCCAGGGATCCTGACTTTAGAGTTCATGTTGCTTACCAGTACACATGCTGACTTTCTAAGTTTGAAGATGGGAGAGAAAGCAATGTTTTTCAACACTATGGCTTGATTTAGAAGGACCTCAACAAGACTCTGTCAAAAATTTGTGTATTCTCATAAATGTAAATGCAGGCTAAAAGCAGTCATAGCATTTACAGTTGTCCAATTCTTCTAGTGCTGGTGGTTAATTCATTCAGATTTTTAGGTATTAGGGATGCAAAGATGAATTAGGCATGGTTTCTGCCTTCAAGAAACACATAGTATATGTGTTTCTAGAGGGGGACTAGAAGTGCCATATTAAAGGTCTTGGATCATCGACCAATTTAATTTCAATGCAACTGATTATATAAATGTGAGCTCTTCACATTTACTTTCATTAAAATTATATCATGACAAAAGAAAATAGATATAAATCAAGCTGCATATTCTTCAAGTATACTTCAAGTATGAGTCACATCTGCTTCTCATATGGTAATCTTGAACTTTCAATTCACCTTTATTATACATTTAAAAATTCCTGGGGCCTACACACATCTGAGAGTTCTGATCATGTGAATTTCTACCTAAAAAAGTTGACCTCTACAATTCTAGAATTTATCCTATGACCTCTACAATTTTATTTTTTACCTAAAACAGCAATATAAAGATGACTCTCTTAACTTATACCTACATAATCAATTATATGTTTAAACTGTTTTAGAGATTTCTTTATTTTTCTTCTTTTTAAATAGGAATTTACTGACTGACAATGGCAGAAAAAATTGTAAAGAAGTTAGATGTTCTAAATGAGCAAGCAAATACATTTTTGGCCAGAAGAATAAAGGTTTGTAAAATAAAAGCTAAAGTTTAATTAAATTATTAAAAGTTCGTTTCAAATGTGAATGATTATTTTTACTTTTTAGTTAATATGAAGATATAAATTAACTTGTAAAAAACAAATAAGTATATTAGTTGAAAGAGTCATCAATGTAGGTGGATACTGTAAAGAATTAATTAGATATAAGGTAACTTCTAGATAGTGGCCATATTAGGTTATGATGTATTTAAACTGCTTAAGAGCTTAAGCAGTCAAATAGTAAATGTGACTACAAACTATTGTTCTTATTAATATGTTAAACATGTTAAAAATTATTTACTTGGTTTATTAAAAGAAAGAAAATATTTGGTATAGTTACCAAATTACAAATAATTAAGGTTCATAAAAATTAAAGTAAAATGGTAAGACTCCTATGAAATTCAATAAATGAAGAATAATAAAGAATAAAGGATATAGTCCTCAAAAAACCAGATTTTTTAGCACATATGAACAATTTAATTTGGTTACACAAAGACATGCAAAATAATATAGCAGTGTGAATAAGTGAGGCATAGATAAGAGCACGCAGGAGAAACAAAGGAAGACAGAGAGGAGCCCTTGAGCGAAAAAACGTATTTATGAAAGTGGTACCTCGGTTTTCGAGTGTAATCCGTTCTGGAGACCGTCGAGTTCTGAAACGTTCGAAAACTGAGGGGTCAACAGCCGACAGCTGGGCCTCACGACCTTGCGCTCAGCGGAAGCCGCGTGGCGGGTTCCACTTCCGAGGCATGTTCCAAACCCAAGCCTTTACTTCCGGGTTTACGGCGCTCCTAACCCGAAATGTTCCTCAACGGAGACGTTCGAAACCTGAGGTAGCACTGTAGTCGGGTTTACCTCATTTCCCTTTGTTTGGGGATTGTGGTCCTGCTCTGCCTGTTTTCCGATGCCTGCTTACAGTTGCTTTCCTGTATTTCGCCTCGTTTTCTAGTAGTTTGAGCAGGAAGGCAATTCCCGTAGCGCCTAATCTGACATCGCTGGCCGAAGCAAAAGTTCCCGCATCCTTTGACCTGCTTTCAGATTTTTCATCTCTTTATTCCTTGGCGCTGTGCTCTGGGAGAATTCGTTGTAGAAGATTTTTGGCTCCTTAACTCACTCTTTAGCACTCCTTTTTCCTCTTCAGTCCATCTATATAAATATATGAACAAAGTTCTCTTTTGATTCCTTTTTTAACTCTAGTACTGACTCATGCTACTCGACAAATCATATGATCCACAACATATGCGGTGACAGGGAGAGGGACAGTTTGGAGAAACCGGCCTGCTATGGTTCCAGTAACTCTACGTATCAATATTGTCTTTGCTAAAGATATAGGTTGTTCTTAAGTTCTGAATTTTAGAATTAGGAGGGAGCCTTCATCATTATCTAGTCCAACATCTTCATTTCATTAATAGGAAAAGAGCAGCTCAGGTCACACAGCAATGGCACAAAAAAAGTTGGTGTACAAGACCCCCGACTTTCAATCTGTATTATTTTTACATTACTGACTACCACATAAATTGTGGTGGTGTGTGTATGAGTGTGTAAAGTGAGGCTAATTCTGTCCTTTCCAAACAAGATTTTCCTATATGAAAAGTACTCTTTTTTTCAGTGTTATGTTTTGGCTTTGTTGCAGAAAAACACTCTTCAGAGTTGCGTAAAGAAAAAGACTCCTATTAAACCCCTGACATTTGATTTTCAGTTGGAATATGAAGAGGCTATTATTGCTACACCCACATCTATGACGGTATCAAAGAGGAGAGAAGATAAGTCACATGGTATTAAAAAAACTAAAAGGTAACCATTCTAACTACTTCAGACATTCAATTTTGAGTTTTAAAGCATTACTTTAGATTTGTCTTAGATTATGCAGTCTATATTAAATGTCAGCTTTGTCAAACAGGTATATTTCATAGTGGTTACGAATTATAACATACGAGATAAGCATTCAGAATATTCCTAGTTTATAAAACATGTATTATAATATTTCGTTATTGTACATGTTAATTGCAGATAGTAATTGTAATTCTAAATTTTTAAAGAAAGACTTCTCTTGCCCAGCCAATGTGGTTCAGTGGTTGAGCATTGGTCTAGGATCCAGGAAATCGAGATTTGATTCCCAAGTCAGGGCACATGCCTGGGTTTTGGGCTCCATCCCCAGTGGGGGTCGTGCAGGAGGCAGCTGATCAATGACTCTCTCATCATTGATGTTTCTATCTCTCTATCTCTCTCCCTCTCTGAAATCAATAAAGATATATTTTTTTAAAAAGACTTTTCTTGAGCTGTAGTATATTGCCTCAAATTAACATCAGGATTTATTTCAAACTTTAATATACTGCTGTCAACTGATGGTTGTTGGCACTAATTCAATGCCAACAGGAATCTCTAATTTGGGATACAGTGAAGAAGGAAACTTCACTCAATGCAAACAGCTCAATTGTGATACAGTATGACTATGAGAACAGCAAGACTATGGAACAACTGAATAGTGTTATAGCTCAATTCTGTTCCTACAAGACATCTTCCAGCTGTGGAAACAGTCTTTAGGCTTGGGTGGAAAGGGAAAGTGCACTCTGGGAGACAGAGGGGAGCTGATTTACATAGAGAGAAGTTCCCACCCCTGGTCAGGGATTGGTCTGTCCTCATGCAAATGAAGACTCCAAATCCTCAAAGTTTGATTGGCCCAAATGGCACTGTTTTGATTGGTTAGAATGGAGCTGCTCTGACTGTCAGTGAGGATGCTGATAGGGATATAACTGTGCAGCTCTGATTGGACAGGGAAAGTCTCAGTCCTATTGGTTGAAATAGAATTCCAGGAACTCCTTTATAAGGGCTGGCTTAGCCAGCAGGAACACAGTGCAGGCAGGCAGTTCATTGAAGTGCAGTTTGTGTAAGAGGCTTCTGTATAGAAACAGCTGCTAAGCTCTGTTATTTATTTATTTTTAAATCCTCACCTAAGGATATGTTTCTATTGATTAGTTGAGAGAGAGAGAAACATCGACTGATTGCCTCCCATTCACACTTCTATGGTGATGGGAACCCACAACCGAGGTATGTGCCCTGACCGGAAATTGAACCCGCAACCTTTTTGTGTACAGGATGACACTCCAACCAACTGAGCCACCTGGCCAGGGCAGCTTTGTTTTTTTAAATCTGAGCCCAGTTAGCTACCGGGCACCCTTATTAATAGATATCACCTTTCTCAGGGTCTACACAACAACAACAACAACAAAAAAGTCCACCTACAAAATTAAGTAAGGAAGTTTCCTGTGTACTTATAAGGACTAGTCTGAATATGTCATAGTTGGTCTTTCACTGGCATTGCATATGTGTGTAATGCTATAAAATTTTTCTAGGCACCAGAAATGTCGAAGAGAGCCCAGATAATTGGGCTCTCTTAATTTCTTACTCTTTTTAGGGAGCTCTTGGATGTCTTTAAACAAATGTTTTAACATTTTGTCTATCTTTTTTAGTTGTTCTCAGGATAGCTGGTCCAAACCACCTAGCCTTCTATTTCCAAAAGTGAAACATAAATTACTATTTAATATAATACTAGATTTCACTCATACTTGAATAATTCTCATTCTGATATAACATTGTTTTTTCTAGGGCTCTAAACCAAATTCAAATAAAAAATCCTTGCAGATAACTTTTATTTATCTTTGTTACAATAGCTTTGCTATTACATACTACTGTCATTTTCATTTATTGATTTTCTTCTCTAAGTAGTTATTGAGTGACTATTATACTCTGGAGATACAACAGCAACAGTAAAATATACCTGTGTGTTAAAGTTCAGCAGATGGGGGGTAGTTGGGAGGATCAGATAAGTGAAAACATGCAGTTTTCAGGACAGTCAATATCTAAATACATACCTAATACATAAATCAGGAGAGCAAGAAACAGATGGTAAAAAAATCAAAAGCAAAGAAATATTAGAAAAATATGCCCTTTTTTGAAGACAGACATGAATTTTCAGATCAAAAGGGTTGCCAAGTGCTAGACTTATGGTAAAATTAGTACCAAAGGCAGGGAAAAACATTGGTTAATTACAAAGGAAAGGAAATCAAATGAGTTTCATATGTCTCATCTGCATTTCTAATACTGGAAAACAGTAAACCATTTTTAACTTTTGAACAGAATGGCAATCTGGGAATCCTGTATTTGGATGAATCATCATTTATATATGAGAACAATTTTTTGGAAAGAAAATACTTTAGAATGTCATCTGCCTACATATTCTTTCTAAGGAACTTACTTGAAATATTCAAATTAAAATGAAATATGGATAATAGAAAGATACAAACTAGGAATCTTTATTAAGCAAAAATGTATTTGAAATTGTCTCTGGTGCCAAAATGAAGGCTCTGGACTTCCATCTCACAGAGGCTGTCCTATGAAAACAAAATATTCCAAAGAATTACCAGGGAAGGAGTTCATAAGGGATTTCCAGTTGGGAAGAGACAGGTTTTAGAACAAACCCCATGCTTCCATCTGAGTTGTGCTTGTCTCTTGGGTTTTCTTACTTTCATGTGCCAGAGCCACTTCAATGATTTATCCCAGGAACATGCAGCAGCCTCCCTTTAATTTCAGCACATGCAACGCAAAATCAAGGTCTTTACCTATATTTCCTTTAACTCAGCTACAATAGAATATAATCTCATGGAATTTTTTAAAGTATAAGATCAAAAATGGAAGGGGAGAAAGGTTTAAGGGAAATGAATTTTTAAAAATACAAGCAGCCCAAAATCAATACAAAAACCAGATTTATAATTTTATGCTAGTGAATTAACCCACAAAATTTATAATTACAAGTTTCATTCCTCATATTATAAGAACCCAGTACTAGCAACACAATTTTTATTCCTCGGCGCTTGTCCCTCCCATTCATTCTTTCTACTGTTGGGAGAAAATTCTCCAAAGGTCTCTTGTATTTCTGTATATCTTATGAGCAGAGGCACTGGCTGCCTTTGTTTCTGACTATTGTTTCAAATATGTTTATGTAGCAAACAGCCTTGGAAGACAGAGATAGTGCTGTCTTCTAAGCAAGAGCAGCCATGTCCTTATAAAAATTTGGACTCCCTAAGCTTAGGGTTCCATTCCTGTAATATAACCCATTGTGTGTGCAGGTGTCGCCTGGTCCTCTGCTTGTTGCCTGGTGGAAGAGGGGCTCAGAGAACTAGCGTAGACTGTGTTACTCCTATTACTATGAATAACAAATAGTCTTCTGCCTCTGATCCAGGAGTCTCATGTCTTCTGCCAGCATAGATGAAACTTTGACAGACTAACTTGTTAGTTTGTAAGTGGGGTCAAATCTCAGACTTTTCACAGTTCTTCACACCTACTTTTAGGGAAGAAACTTGATAGAATAACAGAAACTTTGACCCTCCTGTAAACTGAGTAGTAAAAGTTATTGTGCCTCATTCCTCAGTGAGTAATAGAACACCCTCACCCAGGTCCCTTTGTGTTTAGAAGGACTCTATATACCCATTTTATCTATTCTACAAGTCTACCTGCTTGTAGGTAGCAGGATTTATAATTTAGTTACATCTCAACTAAGTTCACAAAATTAATCCCTATAATGAAGTTTAACAAAAGAAAGAAACATGGCATGAGATTATGTAAACTAGGAAAGAAAGTCATAATCAATTGAGAACAGAATTGTAACCCAAACATCTAGCACTTAATTCAATTTATTTCCTATAAATCATGTTAAGTATGCATTTATTGAAGGACAAAAATACCTCCTTGAAGCTGTCAGGGTGCATTTCTTCAAAGTTTTAAAGAACTATTTAAATGGTTTCTGAGCATAGACAAAGATGAAATAGTTCCAATTCTTTTTATAAAGCTGTATTTGATTCTCCAGTCTGACCACAAGAATTAGAAAACCATTGATGAATCTCACTTATAAATACAGATTTTTTTTAAAAATGTACAATAAAATAATAGCTTAACTGTTTCATTTGTCTATTCCTTTTTCAAAATATATCCAGCAACCTCCTGGTTCATAGGTCACTGCTCAACCACCGAGCCACGCCAGCAGGGCTCATTTGTCTATTCTTAACTCGGAAACATATAACATATAACAATTTTTATTTCTCTAATTTCATTGACTAGTTCTGGTTATTAAAAGTCTGTCCAATTTAGTGTTTTGATCCCACATACTAATCAACTTTCCCTGCTCCCATCAAGCCAGGGTAGTGACATTGGAAGAGCTGAAATGGAAAAGGGTATGGCCAGCAATTTCCTTCTTCCTGTTCCCCTACCTGTGAGTGAAAGGTGGGTGTGGTCTTCCTCAGCACACCTTTTCCTCTTCCATCTTCTAATATCTTTTCCTCTGGGTTGGGAACAGTGGTGTGCTAGAGTTAGCTCCTACCAGTTCTTTAGAGCTGACTGTTGAATTTTCAGGAATTTTGTGAGATCATTATTAAACACAGTCATTATTAAACATAAAATTAAGTAAACTAAGAATTCAAAGACATACTAAAAACAAAGATAATAGTCAAAACTCATCACTTCCTAATTATTTTATTACCCTTTACTATTACCTATGGTCTCAAAATTATTTACATATATTGTATCCATATGGTAGAACTATTATGTAATATGCTACTGCACATTTCTTCTCAGTTCCATATTCAGTGATGTTCCATTGGTAGCTTGAAATCAACCATGGAAATATTTAATCATAGAAGTTGGCGAATACTACAAATCAAATTTTTATTTGTTGTTTGTCTGGATTTAAGAAGTTAAGGAGAAAATGTTAATGATGAAGATTAAACTTAAAAGTATGTCTCTTTCCTGTAGCCATTATACTTTAAGTAGCAAAAAAGAAAATTGAGGAAAGATTATTCTAATATTCAAAAACTATTATCTGTCTCAGCAAAGAAATAGCTTATGTCATTAATGAATATGTGAAGGTACAACATATGTCTTCATTGTTCAGTTTCATATTATTCCTTAATATGAATGAAAATATCAACCAACACTAGAGAAAAAGCTATTAAATATTTACCAGCACCCAGTTGTATGGGAGGAAGGGAAGAAGGAGAGGAAAAAACCAAAATTTTTAATCTGGCCACTGTTACCATCTTCTTTCTCATTGTTATTTTCTGGCCAACTCTAGTCATCAAGAAGCTAGCTGTTGAAATGGATAAAGGTGATCAAAAAGTACAAACTTCCAGTTATAAGATAAATGTCTGGGAGATGTAATGTCCAGCATGGTGACTGGAGTTAACAAGTCTCTAGTGAGATCTGCTGACAGATTGAGAATGGGGAATGAGAGAAAGAAATCAAAGATGACTGCAAAGTTTTTGGCCTAAGCGTCTGGTTGAATGCAGATGGGGAAACCTGATGAGGAACAGATTGGGAAGGAGGTGGAAGCATGAATTTGGTTAAAGATATGTTACATTTAAGATGGTTATAATACATCTAAATGCAGAAGTCATGTAGTAGTTGGACATATAAATCTGGAGCTCAAAGAAGAGTTAGGGGTCTAGTCTATACTTCTGGAGACATCAGCATATGGGCAATATTTGAAGGTGTAGGACTGGGTAATATCCACTACAGGTGAGTGCCTGAGGTCTGAGGACTGAATCATGGGTTATAAGCATTTAGAGGCCAAAAATATCATGAGTTATAGACCATTAACTTTCTTATATACCATCAATAGTCGGAATTTAGTGGACAAAAATTACTGTTTACAACAAATAAATGCTGTGATCTGGAGTCTGAACTGATCCTAACTCCACGTTTCATCACTTCGACTCATCTGGCAAGGTCCACAGTATCTCATTTAACAATTTTCCAGCATATTTTTCTAAAAGGGTTAACCAGCTCCTGACCAACAACTTCCTGAAGTGCTCTCAATTTTATGACAACAGCAGTTTCTATTCTCTCTCTACTTCAAATGAATATCACTAATATTTTCAGCTCCTGCTTAATGAGTCCCAATTTTTCACACTCTGTACTGGAATATATTAATATCATAACATCCAAATCTATATAACTAGGACTTCACCACATTTCTCCAAATTTGTTTTTTAGATTTGTTTTATAAATGTTCTGATTATTTTAATTACATTAATTTTATTTCTTCTAGGCATGTCTCCTTCAAAAATAAGCCTGAACCTAGAAAGAGTGATTTTGAAAAGTTAAATTTAAGACCACACTTTGTACCAACAAATATAAAAAATCAAGAAAACAAGTCACTAGGTAATGCTTTGTGTAATGTATTTGTTTCTCCTTTAATTTATTAACGCATGCTTTTATTATACACTTTAGTATTTGTATCTTAAAGCTTCTTGATAATTTGATGTCTCTGTTCAAAGCATTTGCTTGAAGTATATGGGTTATAACTGCAGTGTGAAAGATTTTAGTGAGCTATAAAGAATTTCCTAAGAGAAAGAGATGTTAAATATCAGAATGGATAATTTATATAATTCGAAAATTAAAAAATATTTTTATGTTTATTTATTTTTCAAGAAAGTAAATTTCTGAATTTCCTTTTCGCTCAACCCTAAAAGTTTCCTTGTTATTGTTTTTAAAAAATCAATCAAGTATGGACATTTGCTTGATAGAAACTTACTTTACAGGAACATTAATTTCTGTAGCTTAAAATAACCCTTGATATCTGGTAGAGCAAGTCTTCCCACCTTGTTCTTCAAGAGTATCGTATCTATTTTCTATTTTCCATTATGATTTCTTCTTTGGCCCATTGGTTATTTAAAAGTATATGTCTTAATTCAAAATATATAAGGCTTTTCTAATGATCTTTTCATTATTGTTTTTTTAGCTCAATTCACTGTGGTTTGAAGATACACTCTGTATAATTGCATAATTAGTTAACAATGGCATTATTACCCATTACATGGTCAATTGTTACAAATGCTCCATATGTGCTTCAAAATAATGTATATTCTGCAGCTGTCGAGTGCAGTGTTCTGTATGTCTTTTAGGTCAAACCTGTTCATTATGTTTTTCAACTCTTCTATATCCTTACTGATTTTTCTGCTGGTTTGTTCTGACAATTAATGGGAAATTTTAGACATATTTATTCTTATTTGTAGCATTGTCAAACTTTGCTGTGCAGATTTTTAATACACTTTAGGCCATGTTATGAATTGCATAACATTTTAGAATTATTACATATCTAGTGAGTTGAACCCTTTTCATTATGAAGTGATTTTCATCTTATCCAATATTACAATACTTGTAGTTATACAGCTTTCTTTTGGCTAACATTTGCATAGTATATCTTTCTCCATCATTTTATTACCACCTTTCTATAACATTATGATCTAGATTTATCTCTTATAAACATCAAGTTGTTAGATTTAAAAATCTACTCTGATAATCTTTGTCTTTGAAATGGAGCATTTAGTCCATTTATATTTAATCTTATTTTGTTCTTTCTATCTCTCCTGTTGATTCTATGCTTCTTTTCCTATGCTCTTGTATCTACTTTGATTGAATTTTTTTAATTTTAAACTTCTCCCCTTTAATAATTTGGAAGTTATATACTGTTTCTCTTCTTTAAATTATTACCCTAGAAATTACAATATGCATCCTTTCAGAATCCTTTTATTGCCCTTATACAATAAAAGGATCTTATAACACTTCAATTATTTTACTCTCATACTGAGTTTTATATTATTACTAAAGTCCAAAATCCCATCTAAATATCATCTAAATCAAATATGGGTGAGACTCAAAGTATGATTCATCCTGAAGCAAAATTTGTCTCCAGCTGTGAACCTGGGAAACCAAACAAATTATGTGCTTCCAAAATAGAATGATGGTATAGACATCCCCATTCCAAAAGGGAGAAATAGGAACAAAGTAAGGGGTGATGGGGCCCAAGCAAGTCTAAAACCTAGTAAGGTACCAATTTCTCTCTCAGTTCAGGCTGCTCTAAAAATCTGCTGTAGCCTGCGTGGCTTAAACAACAAATATTTACTTCTCACAGTTTTAGAGGCTAGAAGTCTGAGATTGGGGTGCCAATATAGTCAGGTTCTGGGGAAGGCCCCCTTCCTGGTTTTCAGACAGCCGCCCTTCTTTCTGTGTCCTTATTGGGCAGAGAGATCACCCTCTCCAGCCTTTTTTTATTAAGGCATTAATCCCATCATGGGGGCTCCACCCTCATTATCTCATCTAAACATAATTAGACCCACTTCCAAATACCATCACATTGAGGATTAGAGCTTCAACAAACAAATTTTGGGAAGGACACAAACATTCAATACATAGCAACTACCCTACCTAAATTATACCTCCCTGTATTGTTCTCACTCACCAAAATCTGTTTATTTCTGTCTCAGCATATATCTCAACTTATAATTTTCCAATCCTTTGTTTCTTTACTTGTTTATTTTCTGTATTACCCACTAAAATGTATGCATTGTTGGACAATAATTACCATTTCAGAGTCTAACAGCAGTGCCTGGCATATTATAGGTGATTAACAAATAACCATTGATTGAATGAATGCCACATACTGTATTAAGTTTGTTACATCTATTTTTTATCTCATTTAATCCTCACAGCATCGCTATTAAGATAAGTACTATCATTTTTACTTAACAGATGAGGAAACTAGGGCTCAGAGGGGTTAAATAACTTTCCTAAGTCTACATAACTCACACACAAGAAAAGTAGGTTTTGGTTCCAGGCTATCTAAATCCAAAGTCTATATGCTTGGCCCTATAGTATGCCTACTTTAAGACAATCCATTAAATGATAATCCAGATTAATAAAACTCATGATTGAAGATGAGGAGAGGGTAGTTCAGATTGAGGGAAATATCTCTCTTTACAAAGGAATTTATAAAAAAATTTGACTATCAAGTATGATTCTACTTTATTTAGAAATTCATTTTTTTTCCAATATACAGCTTTATTGTATTATAGTAAGTAATCAAAAGTTATATTCTGTTAATAGAAATTCACTTTTAAAGCACATTATTCTAGAACATATTTAGCTCTAAAAATGTAAAAGCAATTTTATGTAAGCAAACAAGATTATCAAACTACATTTCTAAAAATTTTACTAATGCAGAGAAAATAGTTTATTGAGTTAAATTAAAAGCAGTCTAATAGTATGGAAATAACATTTATGTTTGGATTTGTTTCTTTAGAACCAGTAGAAGAAAATCTAAAATCAAGATCTAATAGAACTTTTCTTTATCTTAAGGATAGAAATGAGGTAGGTTTAATTTGTATGCTTATAACTACTTAATAGCCATTCGCATTAACCCAAATAATTTTTTATATGCTTCTACCAATCCCAAATTCAAGTGGATTTTAGGATTCAAAAGCATAAGATTTTAAAGTGATTTTATCTCTGATATTATGGAAAACTTTACATATGGAAATAATAGAGGAAATAATATATTATTTGTTAGACAATCAGCATAGCAGAAATTATTTATTAAATATGATACGGCATAGCAGTTATTATAAAGTTGGTTAAGACAGAGCATCATAATCTATATATGCATAAGTTACATATTTTATTTTAATTTAAAATATGAAAATATGTATGTACTTGTTAATCTTTTAATGTGTAGCCAAGACTATTTTTGAGCATGCAATAGTTATTTAGATTATGTAATTACAATAACAACTACCATAACAGGTTTTCTTCTCAAGTCTAAATTTTAGTAATTTTTCTTTATATTAAAGTTTCTCTGTTTGACTTTCACATCTGTAATCTATTTCTCTTACAACTCCCCTTCTTACCTATTCAAACTTGTCTGTTATACTCGATAAATGATAAAGGCTCCCTGCTCTAAATATTCTGTTTATGAATACTCTAGGCTTCTTCTGAAATACCCTCATCTTCAAATCATAGCACTAAGTTCTTCCTCATTGATGAAATCTTTTCTGTCTGTTTTAGCCCTCACCGATAGTCCTCTTTTCTAAACTCCTCCTCATTTATTGATTAGTTTGGTTCTTAGTGACATTTCTTTATTACATTATTTGCTAACGTTTCATGTATGTAATCATACTTATCCAATAAGAATGTGAGTTCTTTGTGGCCCAGATTTTTATCATATGCTTTATTTTTATCACATATTATCCAGAACTACATATATTCTGTGCCTAGTGTGAAAAACAACTGTGGGTGCTAAACAAACGTTTGGTTTGTTGATGAAGATTCACAAGTTATGCAGTTTATATTTACATATGCATATGTATATTTTGAATATCTAGATATGCATATTTAAGTAAAAACATATGGAGCCAATCTGAGACTCTATTGTAGGAAAATTTGGATAATGTGTTCCAGTTTCTCCCCCTTTACTCAGGGCTATTCTGCTGCACTGACTCTATGTATGAGAGAGTAAAGCCTCTGTCTAAATTGAGAAAGCTACTTGTTTCTCAGTATTTGAACTTTAGACTTTCTCTGCACTTGGAGAATTAAGTTTTATATGGATATAAAGGCTAGCTTTTAAAGCCAGAGAAAATAAAAATTAGTAAAAACATGAGCATAGGCAAATTTTAAAATTTCTGTAGATTTGTTTTCTTATCCATAAAGTGTTTATAATACCCATCTTATAGGGGTTTTTTGAGAATTAAATAAACGTTATATTTTAAAGAATTTAAAGAACTAGACAGCTATTAGTTATCATAATTAGATATTCCAAATGTGAATCATCAAGTATAAATTATCCATATACACATGGACAGAAACAATTTCTAAAACAGTTTTCCATTTTTTTCCTGATGTTTAGGTAGAATATGCTAAGCCCTTATTATATTCACAGCAGAGACAAGAATGTAGAAGAAAGTCGGGTTCTACAATCTCTTATCCTATAACCAGCATTCAATCTAGTGCTTATAAGAAGGAAAAAGACACTACTTTATTTAGAGGTATATACATTGTGTGCTTATGTTGAAATAATTGAAAATTAATTGCATCTAACTTTTTTTTTTTAATGTATCTTTATTGATTTCAGAGAGAGTAAGGGAGAGGGAGAGAGAGATAGAAACATCAATGATAAGAGAGTTATCATTGATCGGCTGCCTCCTGCACCCCCCCTGACTGGGGATCGAGCCCGCAACCCAGGCATGTGCCCTGACCGGGAATCAAACTGTAATCTCCTGGATCCTAGGCCAACGCTCAACCATTGAGCCATGCCTGGATGAGCTGCATCCAACTTTTAAACATAAGCATTAAGAAAATCTTGAACCAAGGCATATCAGAATCTGATCATATTACCATATTATTTCACTACTTAATAACACCTAAGACACTCTATTACAAAAATGGTCAAGTCCAGATTGCTTAGTATGGTAAGTAAGATCTTTACAGCCTTCTGTTGTCTGTTTACCCACAGTGACTCTAGTCATAATGAGCAGTCTGCTCCAAATACTCTGTGATCTGATCCATTCTATTCTCTATGCTGAGAGCCTATTTCTCCACCTGATAGGTTCCTACTCATCTTTAACAGTTGGGACACTTTTAGCAGCAATTAAAATGATGGCATGTGGCTTAAGCAATACAGATATTTATAATCTCAAAAATAATAAGTCCCTCAGTAAAGCACTGGCAGGGCTGGTTATTTAAGGGGTTTAGTGATGCCATCAAACATCCACTTCCTCTGTCTTTCCTCATTGTCTTCTTACTCAGCCCTGCTGTAAAATATGGTGACTACTAGATCAGATAACTTGTATAGTGACAACATCCACTGAAAAAGAGAAAAGCCCTTTGGTCCCTTTGTAGAAATGAGGAAAATGTTCCCCAAAGGCCTCCAGCAGACTTCCTTTTACGTCTCCTTGGCTACAACAGCTTCATGCACCCATGTCTAAACCAATAAATCATCATCAGCTTAAATCAGTTTTCCCAACTTTCAATATGACCCTTGTAAGAACTACTTTTTATATTACAATCTAATATATATGTGGAGCAGAAGATTCAGATTCATGGAGCCCTAATTCTTTGTCTTTCTCTCCATAAGTTGAACTTGACTGCAGTATTTTAGTGTTTGGTTCAGTTATTACTTAAGATCCATGTGATGCACTCTATTCTATTTCTTTTTTTTTTTTTTAATGCTGGTCAGGAGATGCTAACTTGACTTAGTGTCTAAAGTGATGAGTTATAGCTCACATTTTGAAAAGCATAAGCTTAGATCATTCAAGATTCACTTGCTTGAGTTAGGAAGGAGCCCAGCCTCACTTGAAGGACATAGTTGGTTGGAGGAAGATAAATAAGAGCAGAGTTCTGTTAGCAAAGAAAGGGGGGAAAGGTCTGTTAAATAGGCAATTTTAACAGTCCTTTTTTAAAAACAAAACAAAACATGCATTATTCTTTAAGATCCCACTTAGGTGTTGCATCTTCTCCAAAGTGTTCCCTGAGAGCAGAGACAGGCTGGTCTACCCTCTTTAACAGAGCAAATTTTCCTTTATAAAATTTCTGGAGTCTCTCTCAGGAGAGGCATTATAATTCTTTTATCAAAGTCCCAAACTAAGACTTCTGGGAAAATTGGCAACTTAAATACAAAAAGAAGAAACATTTATTACATCAAAACTAGAACATTTTATCCCAAGCTTAAAGAACATCTGTTATATATTACAATATGAAGTAATCTGAAAGGAGATTCCAGAAGTCAGTGCACAGTTTCATTTCCTAGGAGAAAGGAAAAATATTTAAAAAGTCAGTAAAACCCCGGCCAGCATGGCTCAGTGGTTGAGCATTGACCTATGAACCAAGAGGTCATGATTTGATTCCAGGTCAGGGCACATGCCCAGGTTGTGGGCTCAATCCCCAGTAGGGGGTGTGCAAAAGGCAGCTAATCAATGATTCTCTTATCATTGATGTTTCTATCTCTCTCTCCTTTTCCGCTCTCTGAAATCAATAAAAACATATATTTTGTAAAAGTCAGTAAAAGATATTCTGACACTCCTATTAACAACACCCCCTCACACACACACACACACACACACACACACACACACGCATTCAAAGGAAAGGGGTTTGTAATTGGTCACGAAAAGATAGGAAGTCCTTCCCTTGGTATTCCTCTCCTTATTGCAAGTCAACGGCATTCCAAGTCACTGTTAGCAGTATTTTGAGAGAAATATAATGACCATATGACCACACCTAGTCATTTGTTCCCTTGGATTCCCAGTATTGCTTCAGATGTATTCAGTTAGGGGGAAACCTCTTAACTTGGAGGAGCAAGGTCTTGAAAAGAGGGCTGACAACAGAAGAGACAAGATACAATTTCCTAGGAACCATCTTTGCAAGTGCAATTAATAGCCACAAAGAAAACTGTGCAAAGAAAAAACATGACCCCACTGAACAGCCTAACAGCTATGAGGCCTTTCTTTTACTAAATTCCTCCTCAAACTAAGTTACTGGAACCCAAGTGACCCCTCACATATAAATGGACAGAGTACCCACCATCATCACTGCATTAGAATCATGAAGAAGCTACACAAAACATGCAGTGCACAGAAACAAATTTCCCCATGGTTTTTCACGGTTCCAGCTCCCTCACCAGCCTACTCAGGAAGCTGAATGCCTGAACTCAGTGCATAAGATAACACCTGGGTTTACACGTTAATTTCTAAGGGGAGAATTTAATAGTATTCAGGTAAACTGGGAGATCATCCACAGAAAATTTACCCTTATTATTTTTGGACTAATATCAAGCCCAGGTTTAAGTGTCCTGATACAAAGGTTAGTAAGTAGAAAAACAAGGGAAAAAATGTTGGACCTATCAAAAATTCTGTAGCAAAGAAAAGAAATTATTTAAAAGATAGCTGATGGTCACAATTTGACAGAATGTTTTTACCCATGAAATGAAAGAAAATTTAGACAATAATTGGCTTGTATGCTCAAAAACTTAAAATAAGGAGTCTATGATAAAGGGTTGGGAAGCACTACACTAGAATACAAACTACTTGAGGAGAAGGAAAGAAGCTGAATTTATTGCTAATAGCATGTATGTCTGGGGACACTTTTAAGAAGGTAGAGAAATGTTGAATTGGCTACCAAGTATAACTGGAAGAGTTCAACCTTGGACACTTTCTTTATGCCAGTTGGCCGGATCTATTTGACATTTGCTAAATAACCTCCTGCCATACAAATAGTGTTTAGCCGTCTGAGACTTCCTCCTGGCTAATAAGACTTAATAAGACTTTACACATTGAAGATATTTGGAAATTTGGGAATGCCTTTCTTTCACAAAAATCTTCAGGGCCAGTTTTATGTTTATGTCTTAGCTAAACATCAGATCCTTGATAGTCTCATTAGACCTGAGATAGTCTTTTCCAGTTCTATCTTGTTCACATAAGAAGTTTTTACTGAGTAACTACTACAGATCAAGCACTATATCTGGTGCTTTCTATGTTATTTTATATTGTAAAATATTTTATACAAGATATTTCTTAAATGCCATAGTATATATGTTCCTTTTATCACAACCTTTTATAATTTCAGCTCAAACTGAAAAAAACCCTGAAGAACCATTTAATTTGGTTGGTGACTTAGAAGATTATGTAAATAAAAGGTAATTTATCTTATAGTTGTTGTTTTTTTAGTTGTTACTGTTAATCCTCACCAGAGGATTTTTTCCCCCCATTGATTTTTAGAGAGAGTAGAAGGGAGGTAGAGGGGGAGAGAGAGAGAGGGAGAAAGATCAATGTGAGAGAGACATTGATTGGGTGCCCCAACCAGGGCAAGGGATTGAGCCTGCAATCCAGGTATGTACCCTTGACTAGGATTCAAACCCCAGACCCTTTGGTGCATGAACTGATGCTCTAACCACTGAGCCATACCAACCAGGGCAAGAGGTAATTTTATTTATTTATTTATTTATTTATTTATTTATTTATTTATTTATTTAAATATGTCTTTATAGATTTTAGAGAAAGGGAGAGAGAGAGATAGAAACATCAATGATGAGAGAGTTACTGTTCGGCTGCCTCCTGCAGCCCCCTCCTGGGTATTGTGCCCAAAACCTGGGCATGTGCCCTGGCCAGGAATCAAACCTCAATCTCCTGTATTATAGGTCAGTGCTCAACCACTGAGCAACATCAGCTGGGTGGTAATTTCTTTTAAATTTTTAAATATTTTATTCTGTACAGTGATGTTTCTAACGGGAAGAGTTCTGCCTTTTATTTTCTAGTAGGCCAGAATGAATTTATTCTGGCTTATTACTATTCAGGCCCATACTGCAATCCAATGACTAATCCTAGACTGCTTAGCTAGTAAGCATTATATTCGGACCCTGAAAATATGTTCTATCTGCTCCAAGTTTACCGTCAAATGGAGAGAAAGACATGGTAAAATGAATGGAGAGAATACAATAGTAAAGATTCCTCAAACTATGTAATGAAAAAAAAAAATCATGTTAATCCAATGTACTTTAAAATTTGTTTGGAGCAATAATATTTAGTCTCTTTAGGTTTATCTCAGTCCTCTTTCTTTTGAGATGGTATCTGAGAAGATGAGGGAGGGGCTCACTGGACTTTGTGACGTTGAGGAAAGGTACTTGACCAAGGGTCTTTGTCAGAATCCTTGTAATGCTGGTTTCATTCCTAGATGTTCTGTGACTGCTGCTACCTGTGGTTCATGTATATATGGTCTACTCTCTGAATTTAGATAGTGTCCACCGTTAACTCTCATTAGTGTGGTAGGACTCTCTGAGTCTCTGTCATGTCCTTCATCTGCCCTTAGACTGTCCCTCCTTATGCTGAGCCCTTGCTAGGGGTTACCTCACCATTGCAATGGCAAGCCTCTTGGCAAGCCTAAAGTCAGTGTCCATGCCACACATGAACCAAGGGACACCTAGGATGAAAATTATACCCTCTGCCTAACCACCCGTTCCATCCTGCTAACCAAGCTGGGGCCACCCTATGTTGGAAGGAAGCTGCCCTGCAAAACACTTTTCTCCCAAAATCTCAACAAAGGATGTGGAAATACCTCTCTACTTTCGGTGTTCTCCTCAACCTACATAATATTCCTTCTTCCCACTCATAAAACAAAGAGGCACACAGATTACTGTCTTGCTTCCACCAACACTTTTGCTGTCCCCTCCCCCAAACCAGGCAGGAAGGCATGTCTTATCAGGTTTAAAGTCTATGACAGAGGGTTTGGGAGAGGTGTTGGCAGTGACTTTGAGGAATGGGGGCGGCAGATAGAAACTGACAAGTTTAAATCAGCCCTATAGACATTTATTCTGAACTTGTGTTCATTTTCAGAAGAAAATCTCCTCCACAGATGAATGATTTTAGTACAAAAGAAAGTAAACCTGTCAGAAATGATCCATTAAGTGAGAATTGTTCAGTAGGAAAGAAAAGCTTGCTCCCCTTATGCTTTGAGGATGAACTGAAGAAGCCAAATGCCAAGATAATCAACATTAGTCCAGCAAAGCCAGTAACTTCTCACACGGTAAGTAATAAGGCTATCTACCACTGTTCAGTAAATATGTGTATTCTCACTGCTTGTGGGAATATCATATTCAAGTGACCAGAATCTTTGGTAAATCCTTCTTTTAGTTTCACGCACTTAAAGTCATAACGCTCTTTTTAGAACTATCACCCCCAAACTGGGAATTCCTTTGCACCAGCTGAACATTTTGTGTGTTTTTTAAGTGAAGAAGGCTTTATCAAATTTTCTTGCTTATAAAGAAATATCAAATAAAAATTGTATTAAAAATGGATCATGTATCATATTTCTATCAATTTACTTTAGCTATTTCAACCAGAAAATACATTTATTAAAGGCTATTTGGTAGCGCACAGAGGTTCTAGGAAGGCTGGAAAGACTATCTGGCTTGAAAGCTATCCAGTCAGAAGTCACCAAATGACAGCCTCAGACTGCTCCACAGGTGCCCATGCTGATGTCACAGATAACAGTTAACAACTCTGATTCTGGGCAGGGAGCACTATTTCTAAGACCCTTGCCACTGCCGCCCTTCAAAGCGGGATATATCTACCACCATCCTCACTAGAATGGTTTTAACAATGCCTGTTTTTTCACAGTGCTTGCTTTTTCTGAATTAAAGACTTGTCTTAGGTATATCTTATTGATAGAGCCTAGGTCACATGCCTATGCACTAACCTCAAGAGAGGCTGATAAAGCTAGTTCCTGTGCTTCTTCCTCAAGGTACATAGACTTAGAGGTGAAAAATTCCCTAAGGTATTGGGCAGACCAAAAATATGACAGATCTCCACTACTGTGGCTAAGTAGATAACATTGGCATCACCAATGGATTGCAAAACCAGATCTTTTGTCACTTTTTGGGAAATCATAGGCACTAACATGTCTTTCAACTAGGTACACTAATAAACAATTAGATGGATCCTAGTTTCTTAGCTTATAAACTAAATACTGGTGATCTTTATATTTAACAGTTTCTTTGGAGTTAATTTTTTTGCCCTAGAATGGAAATGTGGGGAAGAGTTTAGTGAATAGATTATATGTACAAATTTTGCTACTACTGTAATAAAAATAGTCTATTTTTAAGTCAGTCTACTACTTTGGCTACTTTATTCTGCAGATATATATTGAGCGCTTTTTATGTGTTAAGTGTTGGGACATAGTAACAAATATAATCATTGTAAAGATCATTTTAGATTTTCTGAATTAGTTACTAGGATATCCAGACTTTATAATTTGGGTTTGTCATCAGTTATGTCTCTTATGACCTTTTGACTCAATTCATTTTTTGATATGCTTTTTATTTCTGGACATGGAAATCTAAGAAAGGTCAGAATGATGTTTTATTCTACCAATATCCTGCTTTATTTCAAAAAGGATTTTAGGAGGCCAAAAGTTCAGATTTTTAACCCTAACATCTTGGTAGAATATTAAGAAGAGAAGGAAGTGTGTCACATACAAGCACTTGTTTTTGTGTGTGTTTAAATACCACTATTGTTCATATTTAAAACTTCTATGTATAATTTTTAGAATATTTTATTATTTTATTTTTATGTTTAAAAATACATGTAGCCTTCTTGCCTCAATAGATTGATGACTAAGTATTCTTTTCTTTAATCCACAGGGACAAAATGACACAAATCCCATAATTTTCCATGAGACTGGATATGTACAAATGTTACTTTTAACAAAAAATAGGCTTCTTCCCCATCATATGGAAAATAGAAACATTTACCCATGTAAAAGAGCAAATTTTGCTTTAGAAAGAAATCACGAAATTCTCAAATCTTTAATTAATAATCAATTTATTACTTCTTCCAAACCTAAAAGAACTATGCCTACAGCATGGAGGAACTGTATACAAGCAATATCTTTTGCAGCGGGTCATAGAATTGTAGAAGATAAACTAAAGAAGAAAACTACTATGCAAACATCCAAAAACATATCTCGGAATAAACTCTATAATTTCTCAGAGACTTTTTCCTGCCTAACAAAAGAATTTGTAGGTTTCCTTAGTAAAACTGTTACTCATGAAACAAGTGCTAAAACTGGCAAATTTGAAAGAATGAGCAAAGTCAGTTCCTTCCCTGTCAAATGTTGTTCAAAGCCTTTTAAAAAGGTACTCAAAATCCATAAATTACATAATGTAACTCCACTGGACGATTTGTTAAGCTTACCAAGTAAAAATTAAATGCCTCATAAAATACTGTTTACAGCAATACTTGGGTAACAAGAAGCAAATAACAAAGTTTCAAGATCATAGAAGAAATTCTTATCTAAATAGTAATGTTCTAATGGATGATATAAGGAAGCAAAGCATAGAAATTGGAGTTACAAATCAACAGTAGTCTGTTTAAGAAAAATCAATGTTTTACAAAACAAAAGGACAAAATTAGGAAATAAGTATCAACAAGAGGAACTAGTTCATGAATTATCCCAATTAGTTCCTCAATCACCAGCATTCCTACAGTCAAGTTTGATTTGGACCAAGAATGTGATGGACTGATCCTGGAAATTCGCTATTGGAAGCCAAATAACATCAACAACCTTGCTCTAAAATTAAATATAAAATAAGACAAAGGTACCATTAACCTGATCCATGTGGAATTAATCATATCGGCATTTTGGATAATCATTGTATTTTACATTAGCAATTCATGCAATTAAAAAGGCTTTGTAAAATTTCAAATAGTTTTTTTTGGTTAGTAAATGTTCAAACTTCATTATTGTAAAATGCCTTTTTCAAGTATAACTTGGACTTTTTTCTGAATTGTTAATTTAAAAGAATAACTTATCCTTCATAACTAAATTTTTTTAGCAAATCCTATAAAGTATGAAACATTTTAAACATATTATTACATTGCTATTTCACTGTTTCTCATTAACTTCTCATTAACCTGAACAGTATATAGGCAGAACTCAACTTAGAAACAAGTTGCCTTCCAAAAGTTCGCTTGTAATCCATTTGTTAAAGGACTTTTTTTTCTGAAAAATCTTAACTGTGAGTAGTTGAGGAGAAGTGGATTTAAAAAATTAGAAGCATTTCAGTTCGACGAAGGCTTGGGGGGGGGGGTCTTTGGAAAACTTTCAAAGGTGAGGCGATAAACTTGTTCAGGTTCCTCTGTTTCCACTTCAGACTGGACGTTTTCCTTCTTGTGTGTCATCAATGCTACTCTCAAGTGTGTCTTCACAAGCAGAGGCAACATTTGGCTCTCAAAGAGAATGATGGAGAGAAAATGGAGATGGAAGGGGGAGGGAGGAGTGTAACTGGAGACTAAATGACGGAAGAGCAGAAGAAAAGGCTTCAGGATGAGGCGTGCTCAGGTGTGCTGGAGGCTGGGGAGGAGCACACGAGCTCTCCTGGCTTGTCTGCCTCTCTTCTGGTTGCTGGCTGGGGAGAAGCAGCAGCCCCAGCTCCAAGTCTGAAGCCACCTTTCTCTTTGTCTAACAAACAGGGATTGACACTCCTGTTCTCTTTATTGCTATTATCTATGCTCCCTTTACCCCCAGACTACCCCTATTTTCCCTCCTCCCAGGCTCACTACAAAGCAGAACAGTTTTCCTAACTGCCCTGCTGGTTCAGGAGATAAAACACAAACTCTTTTTCATCACTAACAATACAAATGAAAAGAAATAGAAAATATACCTAATAATAGCACAGTAATGATGGTCATTTTTCCCTCCTGGTATTCAGTATAAGATAAACAACTATGGGGCTTAGATTTGGGCAGATGTGAATGAACTTGGGCAAATAATGTAAACTATCTGAGCCTCGCTTTACTGTATCCCCTCCTTAAGACGGGGACAGCAATGCCTTATTACAGTATTATTTTTGGGATTAAAAAAATAATGTGAAGTACCTTGAGTATGATAAACATCCATTAAAGATTCCTTTCCTATTCCTACCCTTCCCCCTGCTCTCTTTTTACTTTATTTGACATGCTGAAATGTATTTCTTTTTAAAAAATCACCATTTATCCCCTCTATGCCCTCTTGCCCCTGCTCTTAATGTCTAAGTAAAACATTTTAAAAGATGTTCCTCAAAGTCTCTTAATTCAATCTTTTCTAAAATCTAACTACAGTATTTAGACTTTTGCCTAAAGTAGATCCAAATTAAAACAGGATTTTTGTTTTAGTCACTTTTGAAGGTTTCTGCTTGAGCTTGTGAGTGTTATCCTTCAGGAAGGTAAAAAACTTAAAAATTCCATTTTGCTGAGGATTCTCCATTAAAACAGCTGGACACCTGGGAGCAGTGGATTCCGGGAAGATGGTGACCTAAAGTCAGCACCTTTCTCTTCTCCTCTCAGCTTAAACCTGTCATTCTCCTAAACCAAATGTCGGTGGATCATCAAGCTGTGGGGTGCGGGGTTAGATGTGGTTTCCATTCTGATGCTGAAATCTGAGTGTGGCCGTTGGAGCCCAGTTTCTGAGTCACAAGACAATGGTGGAGGTTGTGTTGTGTCCTGGGACTAGCTGGACAGCTGGGATCTGTAGAAATAAAAGGATAGTATAAAAGGATAAATAAAAGCAAAAGTTTTTGTTTTATGTGTTTTTAAAATACACTAAAACGGATAAACCTTTCTCAAGCATGATTTAAGGAAGAAGAGCAAAAAAACCCAGTATGAGCTTATGAATGAGAAAAGACCATAGATACAGGAGAGTAAAAGAATCATAAAAAATATCACAGGCACATTTATGCCAACAAATTTGAAAATCTAGAGAAAAGTTGGTGATTTCCTATCAGAAAGGAAATTATTGAAAGTGACCCCTAAGAATGGATATTTTGAATGGAACAATTTCCTAGAAGACAGTGACATGGGCCACGTCTAGATGAGTTCACAATTTTTTATAATTATTATTGAAGCCAGTGTAGTAGACAGAATTCCAAAGATATCTCCCCAGGATTCCAGCCCCTTATCATTCAAACACTAATCTAGGCACTGCTGGGCAAGGACTTTGAGGATGGATTTAGGATTACTAACCATCAGACCTTAAAATATGGGGATTAATCTGAATTATTGATGTACCCAATATAATCACATGATCCCTTAAAAGCAGAATGCAAAAGTAAGAAAGATGTGGCATAAGAGAAATATGGGGTAGAAGTGGAGATTGGAGACTTTATTTCATAAAGGCAAAAATTCTGAACACTTGTTTATAATATTTCCAAGAGGAGGAAGGGAAAGGTGTGGGCATGCTCCTGGGTGAGAGAGTGCAGTCTGGGTGCTTTGTTTTGAAGCTTTTTAAAGGCTGGGAGTTTAGGGGAGGTCTTAGGGGAGGATTTCAATAGACTATCAGCTTTTCCGGGTGTGTCTTTTTGGGGTCGTGGTCTCTTCTGATTGGTCAGTGCCAGGGCAGGGGTCATTAGTCATTGCAGCTTGTCCTGGCATCACCTGCCTGATTTTGCTACTTTTCTGGGCCAGGAGCTGAAATACAACTGAGACCTAGATGTTATCTCTAGGGAGGAAAGGCCAGGGAGTCTAAACCACAGGACCAATGATATGTCTGAAGGAAAGGCCACCTTGGGGGAGAGGTCCAGCACCAGTTTTTTCTATCGCTAGGCACCCAGGCTTGCCTCCCCTGTGAACTTCTGTATCTGGCTGTAAATTGCTTGGCCAGTTCAGCTGTCTCCGTTTTCCCATTTCCTAACTTCTTACTGTCCTGTCTCACTCAAGGTTTTGGTGTCCTCTGACCATCTGGCTGGGAGTGAAGTCACTATTCTTAAAACAGCCCATCCTATTTTCGTGTTTTGCTAATTGTTTATCAGCCAGGAGACTTGACAGCAATCAGATGGTCAAAATTATCCACAAGTGAGCCCTAGCTGGTTTGGCTCAGTGGTTAAAGCGTTGGCCCACGGACTGAAGGGTTCAATCCCAGCCAACAGCACACACCTCTGTTGCAGGCTCCGGCCCCCAGGTCACATGTGGGAGGGAACACATTGATGTTTCTCTCTCTCTCCCCCTTCCACTCTCCCTCTGAAAAGCAGTGAGAAAAAATATCCTCAGGTAAGGATAAAAAAAATTATCGACAAGTGAATAACTTTAGGAGAATATAATAGGTGGCTACTGAGGTATCAGTTCAGTGTAAGAAAACTACAAGGGGTAATGTAATTCCCCAGAGCTAGTAACCACAAGAGGCCTATGGGGCTGAAGGGAAGGAGGGGTTAGAGGTATTAGGGAAGAACAAACTTCACTCTCAAGCTTTCTTTGGCTGGTCTAATAATCAAACAGACATGAGACAGATTAGCAAGAGAAAGTAACCAGACAATACATGTGTATGAGGGAATCAGAGACCCCACATGCAGGAGAGATTCAGAGATAGGGGAATTAAGGTATATTAGACATCCTGAACTAATGAGGTAAGGTGTTCTGTGGGCTTCAAAGGGTCATACAGAAGGCCGATAGACATGAAAAATGCTCAATGTCACTAACTGTCAAAGAAATGCAAATTAAAATCACAATGAGATATCTCACACCTGTCAGAATGGCTATTGGATAATTTTTGAAAACATTTCTCCATTTCCTGGAAGCCATTCAGATATTTCAAGACATCAGAGATGCCTCATTTTTCTCCAGGAGTCAGGTGTGCAGGATTAGACACAGGTGTGGTATGAGCAGGAAGGTATTTTATTTCAGTGCCCAAAGGGAGAATCAAAACCAGTCATTTATGAAAGCCAAGGGGATGTTATTAAATGTAAATCCTATTTACTGCCAATTTCACTCTAAAGAAAACCTTCATTATATATGTTCTCTGCCCAGAAGAGAGGTAGGACACTGCCTTTATAGCTAAAGCAGTGGATGGCCACAAGAAAGAGACAAAAGAGCAGGTCTGACCAGTAATCACAACGTAGATTCCAAAGTGGCACCTAGTTTGTCAACATGCCTAATTTATTTTAGTCAATAGTTAATTTGATCCAAACCTAAGTGTAGACTTCTATGGGAACCAGAAACTAAATATGGGCTCTCTGTTTCAGGTATGAACTATACGTGTTTAATTGGTAACTAATACCTCTAAAGACTATCCTATTCTTTTGCCTTATTTTTTTCTTCCCAACATCCTTACTATCTTGCTATTTTTCTCTTTTCTTTCATTGATTTGCTTAGGACCTTAGAGTTAAAAAGGATCTTGAAAATCTTCTAGGCCAGAGCTGTCAAGTAGAATGCTCTGCCATGATGGAAATGTTCTATGTTTGTGTTGTTCACTATAGTAACTGCTAGCCACATGTGGCCATTAAACACTTAAAATGTTTCTAAGGTAGGCTTTCTCAGGCTCAGCATTATTGACGTTTGGGGTCAACATTGCTGAGAAAATTCATCCACCATGCTGAGTAGGTCCATGCACAGTCATTCTATTTAACTTCAACCTTATCTTCTCAGCTCTCAGCAATCTTTTTATTTAACTCCTGTTCACTATCCTTTGTACATTCCATGGTGGTAGCTGTTCCAAAATCTCCCACTGTGCTCAAATTCATGACTTCACCCTGTTCACCAATTCCAAGAACAGGAGGAAAGCAAAACCAGTTGCAGCTGTAACATGAGATTACTTCCTCATATAATCTTGGCATTTACTTAACATTTCTAGTTCCCACGTAGGCAACAATACTGATCATCTCTGAATTCCTCCAGGCTGTGAGAAATTCCAAGTGGGGTTACTTGCATCTTTGGATCTAATAGAGGGAGTTCAGTGTAGTGAAAAGAACATTGGATAGAGATATGAGAGGCCAGGGTTCTACAGTCAGTTCTATTAATAATGTATATAGTTGATTCAGCAAGACTCTAAACCTGGCCAACCTCAGATTCCCCATCTGCATATCATAGAAAACTTCTAATGATTTTTTTCTCATGATTTTAGATGATCTTTCAAGGTCTATTCCTTTAAGATTCTACCTTCTTTACTGTTCAACTTTTAATCAAAAAATGCTTGAGTATCAACTATATACCATCATTGTGCTAGTTGCTGGTAATGTAACAGTGACTAGAACAGACTTGGCTTATGCCATTATTTATTTTGATGGAGAAGCTGACTGCCTGTCCAATGGTCCATCCTGGGAAAGCTCAGCTTTAGGGAGAAGAGTCAATCTAAGCAATAGGTTTGTATTACTCTACTCTTAGGCTAACCCATAGGGTACCAGGAAGGTGAGACTAGGCCTCCTCCCAGTTTATGATTTCTCTCATGTAGCTATGTTGACTGCTTAGTAGAACCAGGGATTATATGACAAAGATTTAATAATGAGCATGGTACGGGCACTGGCCAACCAAACTTATAACTGAAGCAGGACGTCACTCCAGGACTGACTCCTTTGGTTGCTGACTTGTGGGGGTTCCAGAGGAGGGGCTAGGGTGACCATGGCAGTAGGTTGAGTCTCAGAGGACCAAGGGATGTTACTATTTACCGACAATTGTAGAAATATTCTTATATTCTAACTACAGAGTGGCCTTACTGGTGTGTTGCTTCTGAGTATCAACCCTAAGTAGAATTGATGAGGAAATATGGACATTACAGCTATGTTAATTTATCAACAGCATTGGTCCTTCCAGAGTCATCAGGAGAAGCCCGCAGTATCCCAACATTTCTTTTTTTCCTTTTTAAACATTATCTTTATTGATTTCAGAGAGAGGAAAGGAGAGGGAGAGAGAGAGATAGAAACATCAATGATGAGAGAGTCATTGATCTAGCCCACAACCCGGGCATATGCCCTGACCAGGAATAGAACCCCGATTGCCTGGATCCTAGGTAGATGCTCAACTGCTGAGCCATGCCTGGCCAGGCCCAACATTTCTTAAAGATGCCTCAGGGGATGTGTATATGTATGTAAACCCTCCATCTTAACTTTAGTTTCCTCTTTTGACTCTACTCAAGTTTCCATCCAGCACCTCCCCTTCCTGGGCCATCTCCTAGTTCTGCCTACTTCAGAGTTTGAATAGGCTCATCACCTCCTTGTATTGACATGTTATCTTAATGTGTGGAGTGGTTAAGATCCTGTACTACCTCATTTGGCCCAATGCATTGTCCTTCCTTGGAAATAACTCTAATAATACTTATTTTCTGCCAAGTTTGGAGAAGACATATTATGCTTTTATAATCCAAATTATGAAAAAACACAACCCCACTTTCTTCCTTCCT